GACAGACAGACAGACAGACAGACAGACAGACACACAGACAGACACACACACACACACACACATACATACATACATACATACATACACACAGACAGACACAGACATACATACATACACACACACACACACACACAGACAGACAGACAGACAGACAGACAGACAGACAGACAGACAGACAGACAGACAGACAGACAGACAGACAGACAGACAGACAGACAGACAGACAGACAGACAGACAGACAGACAGACAGACAGACAGACAGACAGACAGACAGACAGACAGACAGACAGACAGACAGACAGACAGACAGACAGACAGACAGACAGACAGACAGACAGACAGACAGACAGACAGACAGACAGACAGACAGACACACACACACACACACACAGACAGACAGACAGACAGACAGACAGACACAGACATAGACACACATACAGACACATGCACATGCACAGACACAGACAGACAGACACAGACACAGACAGACAGACATACACACACACACAGACATACACACAGACAGAAAGACAGACAGACAGACACACACACACACACACATACAGACACACACACACACACACACACACAGACAGACACACACACACAGACAGACAGACACACACACAGACATACACACACAGACACACATACACACACAGACACACAGACAGACAGACACAGACAGACAGACAGACAGACAGACACACATACACACAGACAGACACAGACACAGACATACACACACACACAGACAGACAGACACAGACAGACAGACAGACAGACAGACACACATACACACAGACAGACACAGACATACACACACACAGACACACATACACACACAGACAGACAGACAGACAGACAGACACACACACAAAAGGTTCAGTTATATAACAAGTTTGTAGTTTCTACCAAAATAACTTGGCTGCCTCTGCTCTGTTAGAAGTTGGTAGTTGGTGTAAACCGTATGCTGTTATATTTTCAGAGAAAAACAAACATCACTTTTTCATATAACTATAGCTGAAAGTAACATGCTGGAGCTTGGCATATAGTTAATGTCAACCTCTGCTGTATGAAAAAGAGCTGCATGAAAACACGATAAAAAATACTAGGTTTAAAATGAAATGTTGCCACTTTAGATTAGGAGCCCATATTCACTATCAACTAAGAGTTTTTAGAGTCGGATTAAAGGATTCGATCTAAAATATGTTCATGCAGAATAAGACATTAATATGTGCTTTATAAATACTAATAAACAGCTGATATGTGAGTAATATCCATGCTAATAAGAAACTACAGTGTTCCCTAATCAAAAACTGATTTACCAGTGCAGTGAAGTACATAATGACAGAATTTTCATTTTTGGGTGAACTCTCCCTTAAACACTTTTACACAACTTTTTTTTCTAAGAACAGTAAAAAACTAAATACAAACACACTGAATATGCTGCTGTTCCTGTTAAGTAACATTTATAATTCATGTTGACCAAGTCAGCTGTTGAGCACTGTGACAATGTCTATTTCTAGGTTAATGACGGAGTATGCTATTGATTGACACACACCAGGGATTGATGGGATTACATCACAGTGCAGAGACGATCCGTGTGTGACACTTTCCACTGGATTCAATCCATATCAGTCCCAGTCTGTGTGCTCATGCTTTTGACGAGCGTTAACACCAGCTGAACATTGCACAAATAGTTTAGTTTAGTTAAGATAAGACTGGATTATCCAGTGATGGATCAGGAATGTAAACAGAACAGATTTACTGGAAAAAAAGAGCCTGCTACAGTCTCAATCCAACTTTATTTCCTTCTTACTTTGACTGTCAAATAGTTCCTTACATAAAACTATTTGCATTGTTGGAAAATCTAGCCAATGATTTAAATAAGCTAAAACACACCTTCACAAAATACAGAATATAATTTTTGATATTGTAGACGCTTTTATCATACTTTTCTGTGTAGTGCATAATATTGCATGTCCGTAAATCAACTGTATCTAATCAAATATGTGGCCCTGGAGCACAAAATCAGTCTTAAGTCGCTGGGGTATATTTGTTGCAATACACTGTAAAAAATTATTTAACGGTAAAAGACTGTAAAAATGCTACAGTAAAAACCTATTAAATGGTTAACGGTAAATTCCCCTACTATATACGGTGAACATTTGTATCGGACATTACATGTAATTTTACGGTAGTATACCATTTTTGGAAGTGAAGAAGATTGTATAATTTACAGTGAATAACCGTAAACTGACATTCCCGGAATTCCCTGCGTTACATTTCAAATTTGATGTTTTTTTGTTGAAATAACTATGTTTCTTCTTAGTTTTTTATTATCAGTTTTGTATATTAGGGTTGTGTGTTACACCTAATGTTGTTAAATGAATGTTTATTGCATTATTTCAGTTTCATGTGTGTTACCGTGATGGTGTTTAGTGTTTGTGTGAATGACACACTGTGTGCACCTTCTATATATGTTATTATCTAAAAGCTGCTTGTGATGGGCTTTGGTTCATCATGTGACTTTCTCATCACCTCCTGCATTTGGTGGTTATCGGTGTATTACAAAGCTACAAAACAGATTTCAGTACTTCAATAGGTTGGTATATTAACATTATATCAGTTAATGAAATTACAGTATTTAACTGTAAATATAAGATAAAACCTAAAATGTTGCACTGTATTTTTTACGGCAAAATTCCGGCAACCACAGCTGCCGTTTTTTTTTTTTTTACAGTGTAGCCAAAAAAACGTTGTATGGGTCAAAATGATTGATTTTTCTTTTATGCCAAAAATCATTAGGATATTAAGTAAAGATCACGCTCCATTAAGATATTTTGTACAGCTCCTACCGTAAATATATCAAAACTTAATTTTTGATTAGTAATATGCATTGCTAAGAACTTCATTTGAACAACTTTAAAGATGATTTTCTCAATATTTAGATTTTTGCACCCTCAGATTCCAGATTTTCAAATAGTTGTATCTCAGCCAAATATTGTTCTATCATAACAAACCATACATCAATGGAAAGATTATTTATTCATTTGATGTATAAATCTGACCCTTATGACTGGTTTTGTGGTCCAGGGTGAAATATTGAGTTTTAAATTTCAAATGAGCAATTCATTTGACTTTTCTTTAATAAAAGTAATCACTGACAAACATTTCTTTATTTTTACATTTTCAATACACAACAAAAAATACCAGCATATGGGTTTGTAAAGAAATGAAGTTAAATAACAAAAATAACAAAATGTTCATTCTTGGGTGAATTAGTTCTTTAATATTTGGTAACACTACACAAGTTTTGTCTGAGGACAGTAGAAACTCATGCTTCCAAAATGCAAAATCTTTGAATATTCTGCTGTTCCTGTTACAAAACATTTATAATTCATATGGTATTGTATTGTATTGTATTCATATTATACTGTTTTGTTTACTGTGTGGAGACGTGCTGGTATCGCGTTTGGTCTCGTTCCGTATCGCGTATCTTGTCAGTGTCTGCGCTTGCTTGGCCATTTGTTGTGGAGAAAATAAGGAAAATGTGTCCAGCTGAATTAATGTAGTATTTTGTTAGACGGGTATAAAAAAAGCTTAGTTTACCGCGGCAGCGGTCGCGTGACGGCCTCCTCGTGTGAAGACCGAAGAGTGTAAAGACCATCGACTCTTTCCTACTACTTGTTTCACTCCTGTTTCAGTTTTTATAACCATTTCTTACTATGTGTAAGTAAGTTGTTGTTTTATAGCACGTGTGTTTGCCAGTGTTATTTTTTTAGGATTACTGATAAACTACTGTCGTTTGATTTGTATTATTTTGTGTGCAGCAGTCGTCCACGAGGGGCTGCCGCTTTACTTTCATTTTGTGTTTGTTTATTTTAATAAAGTTTCGTTTAAACATTTAAATGTTTGCCGGTTCCCGCCTCCTCCTTCCCGTGACTACAAACTGTGTTACAATATATATATATATTTATATGTATGTGTGTGTGGTTGTACATGCACATATGTAGTTTTTTTTTTTTTGGTGTTTGGCTTGGTGTTATGTTAAAATCATTATTATACTCTTATACCTTTTGTTCTTTAATATTTAGAATGGTTTTTAGCTTTATTTTTTGTTTTTCATTTAAATGTTAAGTTTTGAAATTCTGTTGTATGCATTTGTCATTTTTATTTAATTTCTTTATTTTTTAAAATGTGTATAGGTAGTATTTATAAAGTTTTAGCTTTTAGTTTTGGATCTGTTTTTAGTTGTTTTAATACTACAATTGATTGCTTCTGTTGTCCTCATTTGTAAGTCTCTTTGGATAAAAGCGTCTGATAAATGACTAAATAAAAATATATATATATTGTCAAGTCTTAAGTGAATGTAAATAAGCAGGGGGGGGAAATCGGACCGGTGCATCATGCCTTGCAGTGTAAATGCATGCTCTGTGATCAGGCTTGTGTCTGTACTCACCAGATCTCTGTGCAGGACCCAGTTGGCATGCAGGTAATGGATGCCGTCTAAGATTTGGTAAAGCAGAGACTTCACCATCCCCCTCGGTAGCTGCATGGGTTTCTTGTTGGCCTTTGATGCGCGATGAAATTTTATGATGTGCTACAACATAAGAACGGGTAAAAGTTGCATGAAAGTTGTGTGCGCGCATTATATGTGACTGTGGACCCCAAAACCAGTCATAAGGGTAAATTTTTTTTTAAATTGAGATTTATACATCATCTGAAAGCTAAATAAATAATCTTTCCATTGATGTATGGTTTGTTAGGATCGGACAATATTTGGCTGAGATACAACTATTTGAAAATCTGGAATCTGAGGGTGCAAAAAAATCTAAATATTGAGAAAATCATCTTTAAAGTTATTCAGATGAAGTTCTTAGCAATGCATATTACTAATCAAAAATTAAGTTTTGATATATTTACGGTAGGAAATTTACTAAATATCTTCATGGAACATGATCTTTACTTAATATCCTAATGATTTTTGGCATAAAAGAAAAATCAATCATTTTGACCCATACCATGTATTTTTGGCTATTGCTACAAATATACCCCAGCGACTTAACACTGATTTTGTGCTCCAGGGTCACATATAAATCTCTATCCTCTAGATTTTTTGCTGCTAAGGTCACGCACTACCAAATTAAGATCAGCAACATTCCATCTCTGCTGATCTTTTCAACTTTTTTCACTGATGAGTTGGCAACCATCAGAGCAATCCATTTTCAGAAACAATACTAATCACACAGAGGACCCTTCTGCGGGTGATTTACTGACAACGCACGAAATAAAGAACACAGACGCGGCCGAATCAGTTCCATAATGACCATCGCAGTCCACCAAGAGCAGTCGATGATAATCAGGTGCGTGCAATCTACTAACAAATGCAAAGGGTGCATGCTTTTTTTGGGCGGTAAATAATGGCTTATAATACCAGTAAGCAGACTAGTGCAAACATTCATTTAAATACTCTCCTCCCATAAATTTTGCATCTGAAAGGGAAACCGATGCAGGAAGATCAGCTGCAAAAATGACTGTCCACACTTTTCCGTGCAACTTTTCATTGCACGTCTTAAATCGTAAAAATGTAAATGCTGTCAGTAGTTTTTTAACACCGAAAGAAGGTTTGCGCTGGCGAAGCTGTTAGTAAATCTGGCCCTAAGTCTCTTAATATATCAGATAATTTGACCTTTTAACATGGCAGTGTTTGTTCAGATTGTGAAATGTGATGCACCTCACCACAAAACATAGTATTTATGAATGAATAGTTCAAATGCATTTAAAAATGTGTTTTAAACATTAATGATACTGAGCCATTCACACAACACATTTTAGCTTTAAAATACGACACAATACAAGTACAGTATACGTGCAAACGGAAGAACTGCAATGATGATTGCAAAGAAGAAAACAAAGCCAGGGTCTTGAGATACGAAGATTTATTTTTAATTGATCTTTTATTTATTTATTAGGATCAGAAAAGGACCACAAGCTCAAACTCAGATGGTATTCAAACTCAAAACTTCTCTGCGTGAAGCACTTCTAAGAAGATGTGTCCAAGGTATCAAGCTCTTGAAAATTCAAGATATAAATACCTGGGGAAATATTCAGGTGTTTCCTCAGCTAATCTCTCAAAGAAATGTTAAAGTCAAAAATGCAAGGTCTGTCACTTTATGAATTTCTTTCTTCTGTAAACACAACACGTAGAAGAAAAAGTGCAAGATTATAATAACTTAATGTGCACATGTGTACTCACCCACAGGTCATGCTCAGCATAGTCAAACAGCAGCCAGACTTTGCGGTCACTGTGAGAGAGAAATACTTTCTGCAGGGTGATGACATTTGGGTGCTTTAACTCTCTCAGCAACTGCAGAAAGACAGAGAGACATGCTTGTCTGTGGTCCGAGTAATGCTTCACAATTCAATTTTCAGACCATATGGTGCAACTGCAAATATGAAAAAATGAAACCAAACATTCATTTTTTCATTACCCTGAGATATATGTAGACGGATTTTCGCGGCTGGTGTTTATGAATAAAGCGCTAGCCTACGTTAATAATGTTTTTTGAGTTTGGTCATTTAAGCCACGTTAAACGTTTACCTTGGGAGGAAAGCTCTTAACACGTAATTAAACACGTTGCGTTCTAACACAGTGTCAATGCATTAAGCCATGTTAAGCGTTTTAGAATGTCCCCCGGTGGTTGTGTGTGTGTACTGCAGATAGTTCCGCGTTGCGTTCGTATTCTGGGCTCTTCTGCTTGTGTGTAAATAGTAGGCTATGCTTTATTAATACATTGTATTAATAAATATACCGAGTTTGGGCTTTTTAATGTATCCCACTGTCTTCGTCCGTTGAGCCACGTATTTTCTTTAGGTTTTCAGTGGGGCACAAAACACTTAACGTGCAATTTAGCGCAACTTGCTTTCATGTTCTGGGCTATTCTGCTTGACTGTAAATAGTAGCCTATATGTTTATTATTAATAAGGTGTGTCCTCCACATTAAGTGTTTGTGAAATAGTCCACACCTCCGCGCTAATGGTACAGCCCACAGCGCAAAAAAAATTGTTTCGATTTTATTTATTCAAATAATCATTTCTGAAGTCACAATTTAGCAAAAGTTAAACTGAAAAAGGAAAAGAAGATGGCAATTGTTCATTTATGACGTAGCTGAAAAAAAATAAAAAAAATTAATGTTTGGTTTCATTTTTTCATTTGCTCCACATGGTCTGAAAATTGAACTGTGAAGCGTTACACGGACCGTCTATTCATTCACCGGTTCATTTTCCAAATGTCACATACATGTTAAAGGCATTTACATCAGGGAATGCAGAATAAACTTTCAAGCTCAAATACTGACCCTGGTGTTAACATCCAGCTCGAGCAATCCTAGCGCTAATAAATACACGCGTCTTATTCTTCAACGCAGAAGTAAGCCTATGGGCGAGACTTCTAGCTCATTAGCCGCTACAGGGAAATTATGAGAATAATAACAACGTGCAGTAAATGGTAAAACTGTTTGCTCTACAAACCAGAGTGTTTATAAATGATATATTCAAATAATATGGTAAGACACACCAATTGGCAATATCAAGCAGCAAAACGAGTGGTTTTGTACAGCTAGAAATTGCTGGAAGCAAATGAGACTGGAAGCCAGACACATTCAATTTACAAATGGCCGTGCCCATTCTTATGGGAAGAATAAGGTGATTTCATAATGTGATTTCTCCCCTTGTTCAATTGTTTTAGATTTTTGTGAATTTTTTGAATGAAAGATCATACAATACAAATTTATTTTGCCGCCATCTTTGCTCATATTTACCAAGAGGGCCAATAATTCTGACAACAACTGTACATGTCAAAATAATAGATATAGATGGCCCACTTAGCCATACTGAAAATGAGTATACAATATAGGTTACAGTCATGATGTCTCTGTTGAGTATCTCAATCAAATGACATGGTGTGGTAAAGTGATAACAGATTTGGGCTGGTAACTGCATATCTGCAAGTTCAAATCCCATAAGAGGCGATTCGTAAACAACCACCACTGCACACTAAAGCAAGGCAGGTAGCTCCAGAGGAACTGCTCCTGTGAGAAGTGTAGGCTGCTTTTAACAGAGCGTTTAAGAGATTCCAGTCTGACATGCTGGTGTTTTGCAATGCGTGAAGAATGTCATTCTGTGGACCGAGAGAGTCTTCGTCAACACTATGTCATGCAACATGGTGCACATCAGTATATTTAACACATTTCCACTGTAAATGTTTCTGCAACATTTGAGGAAGTGAAGGAAATCCATGCACAATATTCTCTGAAAGGCTTACATAGGTCCATATATCCTCTTTTGGAAATGTATAAATAGATTTGCATATGATAAGTTCTTTCCTATCTTTCCAGCCAATGTTGCCTTGAAGTCTTTAATCAATGAATGCAACACTGCCTGCACCGTTCACTCAAGTTACACAAAAACTGCCCACCACTGCATGAAACGTAGTCCGTTCACACTTCTGCCAGTGCTGTGATGATGACGGCATTCATGCGCATATGGCAACTATGTAACGGGTTAAACATTTGTCAGTTCATCACAAAAGTAAACACTAGGCCTGTCACGATAACAACTTTTGTTCGTGCGATATATTGCCCCAGAAATAATTGCGATAAGCGATATTATTGTCATTTTAAAGACCATTTTATGCCACTGAATATATAATCCTAATGTAACAGCATAATAATGCAAGAAGGCCTACACACTTCCAAATGACCAAATAAATATTTAGATCATGGAAATTAAGTATAAAAATATTAGATACCTTAAAAAAATTGAAATAAAAGAGTAAATAAACATGTTCTAACAAAAAGGGCAAAGTAACAAGTACAACAAAAAAAGAAAAATGCACTTTTATGGAGATTTTTCCATCTACAGATTTTTCCCGGACCTTCTTTTCTCTGTAAATTAAGGCTGCACACTATTGCTGAAAAACACAAGCACTACTCAGCAGTCAGATGTCCGTCTGCACAAAGGCACAGATCCCTAAACAAGACCATATCTTCAGATGAAACTCTGTTTGTAGAAGCATTTTTTAAATGTGAACGAGCACCTCACGACTGCACCACGTCATGTACGAGAAGCTGCAGAAGACACCGGCGCAAGTGGAACGTACAAAACACGGTGACATCAATTTTTAAGTAAATATAATGCGATATATTGTGTCACCAAAATGATTGAGGTCATGTACATATATTGCGCGATAAGTCGATATATTGATTATTGCGACAGGCCTAGTAAACACTTACAAAAAGTGAGTGATAGTAACTTTTGGTTGTTTTTATTCACTTTATACATACAGAGGCACTCTGTTATTAAGTTGGCTTGAGAAAGCCAACTTACTGAAATCCGTCTTAAACTTATTATTATTTTTATTTTTCGGAGACTAAAATTTCTGACTGCTACTCCTCCTAGAGCTTTAACTCTACAGACTCCAAACTCAGCGCAGCTCTTCAGACTGATCTGACCGGGTGTGCTATATCTTTTCTAACTGATCGGACTTATACAACCACCCCGGGTACCCTAGCAACACCCTAGCAACCACCCCGAGTACCTTAGCAACTGCATAGCAACACCTTAGCAACTGCCCGGGGTACCCTAGCAACCACATAGCAACACCTTAGCAACTACCCCGGGTACCCTAGCAACACCCTAGCAACCACCCCGAGTACCTTAGCAACTGCATTGCAACACCTCAGCAACCACCCCGGGTACCTTAGCAACCGCATAGCAACATGCATAACAAAATGGACCTAAAATGAAGAAACCAAAGTCCAAATAACAATTACCAACTGATACTAGCCAACTTCTATGGAAGCAGATGGGTAGCAAAATTCATTTTGAAATGTAATATGCAAAATGACAATGCAATCTATAAAATGACAATGTATTTCTGTATTTAAATGTACATTTTCCCATACCATATGTGCAACATTTAGCGCAAACTGAAAATGAAAATTCAATTATGTAATTTACATTTGCCATTATATACACTAGATTTAATATGTAAATTAAAAACATATTTTAATGCTTTAAAAGTTGCAAAATTAAAATGAAATTGTATTACCCAAATTGATTAGATAGGTTTATCATGTCCAAGCAAAAACTGTAGCAAAATTATAATTTAAATGCCATTTTTCCTAAATGCATTTAGACTTACGGGTAGGACACTTGAGATTGCATTTTCATCGTTATACCGCGTGATAATTGTAACAAAATGCAGTGTCAATTTCAAAATGCATTCTGAGCCAAATGTGCAGCAAAATGGTCGCAAAAATGGTGATTTAAATGTCTTTTATTTTTCTTAAATTCATTGACACTTACACTTAAGACATTGCAATTGTATTTTCATTAAATATCGCACGATCAGTGTAGACTAGTCAATGTGGATCTGAAAATGCATTCCGAGCCGATCACGCCCCCGACCTGTCAATCATTACATCAAGGCGGGTCTCGGCAACAAGACACACAATAGCTCAATATTCCCCATTAACCAAACGCTTTTCACCTGCCTCAACATCTCTCACTGTTTTACACTCCGATTGATGCACATAAGTGCGATTCTACACTTTTACCTATTTGCTACCATACTTTATTCTTTTATTCTTCTCCTATAATAGGTCGCGTGTCTCCGAGCACCTAAGCGTTGCAGGTGCGTCGCACATCTCCCGCTGCACGCCGAGTGATGCACGTAAGCAAATTCTACACTTATTGACTAGGGGTGCAACGGGTCTCGGTAAAAAATCTAACCGTACGGTTCTCCACACTCGGTTCGGCATGCACTAGGACCGCGGTTCAACTTAAATCTGACAATGCACCTGTAATATGGTTTGTTAGAGTTCGGCTAATGCATGTTTCTGTTGATGGATACAAATTCTGGCTTCCCAATACATTGCAACAAGTAATACGTGGACAAACCAGTCACTCTTTAACCAATGCCAGTGCTTTATGCTGGAATAACTGTCATTTATGCCGTCATGACGTGTTGATAGCGCAGGTGAGACCTATTATATACACTAGATTTAATATGTAAATTAAAAACATATTTTAATGCTTTAAAAGTTGCAAAATTAAAATGAAATTGTATTACCCAAATTGATTAGATAGGTTTATCATGTCCAAGCAAAAACTGTAGCAAAATTATAATTTAAATGCCATTTTTCCTAAATGCATTTAGACCTACGGGTAGGACACTTGAGATTGCATTTTCATCGTTATACCGCGTGATAATTGTAACAAAATGCAGTGTCAATTTCAAAATGCATTCTGAGCCAAATGTGCAGCAAAATGGTCGCAAAAATGGTGATTTAAATGTCTTTTATT